AATTTGTGACCATCTATGAAGCAGCTTTTATCTGATGTCATTTGTGATGACTTTATACAATTACATTTGTTGTGTTTTTAATATGAGGTTTTCAGTTTTTAAGTAAAGTCCACATATTTTCTTTAATGTTTTAAAGTTTTCCCTCCCAGTACTCCATTTTGGTCTGTCAAAGCAATTTGTAAGCCTTAAATTAAAAGACGCTTTATTAACAGAGATGATTATCATCATCACCAATATTAGCATTATTATTTTCATTGTTATTAGAGGAGATGACTTACTGTCATTAGCAACATCTGCCTGTTGTGGAGCTTGGCCCGGTGTGACAGGAGGACCAGAAGAGTGGTAAGGTGCTGGCAAGGGCAACAAACCTTGGGCTCCCTCCTTTTGAAGACCAACAGGCAAGTCCTTCTGTACCTGGGGCAACTTCAGCTCAGCCTCTGGCAAAATACAACATGTTAGTATTACTGTTCAATAAGCAAGACCTCATGTTATAAAGGAGAGAAGAGGTGAAACATTGAGTGAAACCTTACCCGATTTAGGAACGTTGCATTTAAAGCACTTCTCTCTCCTCTTGAAGTTTTGTACACCACACTGTTGAATTGTTATACAACCTTGTTAACAATCTTCATAAATTAGCCAAATGAATGACTGGCTTTATATTATATAACACGCATTCAAATTGTACATCGTGGTAATTCATAGCAAGCACCGGACCTTGTTGCAGAGCCAGTCCTCATTGGCACGCGGTTTGGGGTCGCTGAAGTGCATCGACACTCTCTGCCCTAGAATCGACAGCACTCCCTGAAGGAAAAAGAAAGAGAGGGGGGAATAACAAAGAATGATTATCAGTGATAATTAGGCCACACATGCCATAGAAAGGCCTCATCTCACAAGAGATGAGAGAGAGTGAAAGGGAAAAGAGAGAGGGAGAGGAATAGAGAGAAAGAGTACAACTGAGGCTGAAAGGAAGAGGACACCAGAGAATTGACCTTCAGCTTTAGGAAATTCGGACGGACGGTGAGATGGTATATATGTAGTCTGTGAGTGCCCATTTTTAAAGGACACAATGTGCTTTGTTCAATTGTGTCATCCCTCCCCCCTTAAGGGGAAACCTTTCCAAAGTTGTCCACACAACCCATCCCATTGTCACCACCTTTGTCCCCCAAAGAGACAATAGCTCTGTCCTAAAGATGTAATCATGGCAGATGTGAAAAGCTCAAAAACAAGAAAATGAAGCAATATATTGGTTCTGATTCAACATACAACAGACCATGTGAGACATTATATTCACACTGTCATACTATCCCAAAGGTGGTACTGTGAACTCAGGAAAGAAAGCGAGACAAGTCACTGAATAAAAGAGGAGAATATGATGGACGAATGATGATCAGTTTGACTGGGAGGTCTCGTCTATGAGAACTATCAAGTTACCCCTTGGTTGTCAGAATTACGCAACATGAATTGGTTTGAATTGTCTAATTGTAATTGTGGAAAGAAAAGAGGAATCTTCCTTCAAGCACTACCTACCTGAGGACCGATGTTATTTAATCATTCTAATTTTTATTGTTATGCTAGAATGCATTTTAAGCACAGGATGGTATGACGTGACTGTATGAGATTAGCTTTTGTGTCTCACTGAATACATTTATATATGTGTATTTGTGTCTGTGTAGGAGAGAGTGACCTGGTTGGTCTCCATCCAGCGGGTGGCCTCCTGTATGAGATTAAACTCGACGAAGGCGAATCCTCGGCTCTGACCTGGACACCGCCCAGCGCCATGGCAACCGAACAACAACAACAACATAACAACAACAACGCAGTGAGGGGTTAGTGCTGCATATACAGAGGAGAGAGAGACCCTGTATCAGCACCAGTCAAAAAAAAAATCATTGCTTCCTCTCTCCTTTAAAAATACCACACATGATAGTCAGTTGGAGAGGCACTGTCAAATTCTCTGCATGGGCAGGAGGATGTAATGTCAAGTAACTCAGTAGGGTCAAGGTAAGAGGGAGGGATAGAGAGAGAGAGAGAGAGCTACCCACTCATCAGTTTGAAACTGAGCTCTTTGGTTTTTAATGATGAAGCACACAGGCAGCAAGAGAACACACACACGTGCACACCAATGTCTCTCCTACTCTGCGAGTCAGAACAATCTAGCTCTGTGATGGCAGGTCGCCTCTTAAATGCTTCATATCCTGTCCAGACATTGCAATAAATGATAATATAGATATGTAACTATTGAAATTACAAATTGATCAGCATTTAAACATTTATTACATGAGTACTTTTCCTAACACGCACACACACAGACAGACAGACCAAAAACAGTAAAACGGTGATGTATGAAAGAGAGCAGTGTGGGGGAATGGAAGTGTGCCGGTGTAAGATAAGCACACCTTACAGACAACCAGAGAGTTAGCAAAGTGGGAGGCCAGTGAGACAATGACCTTAATGGAAAAGAAAAATGACACAAAAAGAACCACAAGCTTTTCTGAGTGGTATGGTTGAAACATATGTAGCTGACAAGTAGCAGCAACGCTTGCATCTAAAATAGCGACAATAGCAAAATCTGCTTCAGATGCCGATTCCTCTTTGACGCTGTTAGTTTGTGAACAACACCTACTCAGACACACCCCGCTTCAATAAGGCAGAAGTTAAAGGATAAAGACAATAAGGGCGCCAAGATGGAAAGGAAAAACAAAGTCATGAACTAAAAAACTACAACTTATGATGGTATGAATGCTTTCTTAAAAAAAAAGAAAAGGAAAAAATAGTCAGGGCTGTGAAGCGTGCATTAATTTTCTTTTTCCTGTGTAAATGCTAGCAAGACTTCAGACATCTGTAGACCAAAGTATCAAAGCAGGAAGCTATGCAAAACTTCGATCTGTATGAGTTGATAAATATGATTGGGTATCTACCATACAGCAGAAGATAGCCACCAAGGATAGAGGAAAAGACACTTATTAATAAAAGAAAAGACAAAGCAGGTATGGAAAAGTCACCTGAAAAAGCAATGAAATGGAAGTGTTGGCAGTGCATGAGTTTGAGAAACAAAAGAAAGAAAAAAAAGAGCATCATAAGAAACACAAAAGAAAAGAGGGGCAATGGACAACTTCTCACCTGAAGATTTATTCCTCATCAGGCGAACTTCTCTCGGCTGGATCCCCTGCTCTTGAAGTTGTGCACGAATCTATGGACAAAGGAGAATTCTAGCTTCAAACTTTTCACAAACAACTTGCGCATCAACTGGCCATTGTTGAGACAAATACGCACCTCGTTGGCAGTGGCACTGGGTGGCAACATACGAAGCATTATGATGTTGCTGGGCCGCTGATTATGGTCTAGCTCTGCACGGTAATCCTGGTCTCTCTGATCCAACTCTTTGTGGGACAGGTCTGGGCCAGCATGCTCCTCCATTCTCATTGGAAAAGCCTACACACATCCGCCACAAATTAATAACCAAAACCAAACAACAATTAAATGTGTATTGTAGTAATTATAAAGATGGACTGATATTGACTTACCCTTCTCTTTCCTGCTCCAGGACGAGAAAACCTGTCATCCTCTCGCTGTCTGCCTGTACCGAATTCCACCTGTTCGGAATGGGAACCACCACGACCCCAGCTGCTTTCCCTGCTTCCTGAATGTGGGCCACTGTTCTCCGGAAAGCCTGTTCCACCTTTCCCCCGTCCCCTTTCCTGAAGGCCAGGCCGTAACTGCTCAAATTCCTGCCTGGATCCCTCCTCCTCTCGCTGGAGTATAGGATGGGCTAGATCAGGTTGTGAGGTGTGAGGGGACCACAGTAGCCCTTTCCCCTCACGCCCTACTTCTCCTCTACCATCTACTCTCTGATGAAACCCCGGATGCTCCTGCAGACAACCCGGTGAGAAGTCATGGATACCCAGTGACTGCTCATCACTGCCATACTGTCTATCACCCTCCACTCTGACATCAAATCCCGTGCCTGCCTCCTCTTCCTCTTGGCCATAGCCACGATAGTCCATGTCCCGGAAATTGTGATCATTGTGAGTGCCACCATAGCGACCCAGGCGATCACCTCGCCCACCCCTGCTGACCACAAAAAACTGCGTGAGAGACTTGTGTGATAAAATGCGCGAAAAAGACGTGAAAATCACATTAAACTCACCTTCTCTCATAGTCCATGCTGATCCACTTACTCTGCCCCTAGTGAGTCGTTCTTCTGTTTACAGAAATGCAGCACACAAATCACACATCACTTCAGATGAAACACGTTATAGAGCCACGCTGAAATTGTACAACCTCGTGAGCAGGTACCTTAAAGTCATAGGCTGTGCAAAGTGTGAATAATTAATTAGATTGATTTTAATTTTTAAAACCTTGCACAATCCAATGACTTCTCCAACTTTGACATATCAAAATGACTTCTCTCAGTGCTACACAGACTACTAACTAAAAGCCACAAATAAACAAACAGCAAAATAACCCTGCACCATTAATAAAAAATAAATAAATTGAGTGCGCAACGCACAGGATCAACCCGCAATCCAAAAAGGAGTAATCAACAACAATGACGTGTGACGGTCAACTGCGTTAGCGGCCAAGCTAACTATGTTAGCTTGAGGTTGGTTAGCTAGTCCAAGAGGCGACATTCTCTCTAAACGACTGTCAGCTGCTAGAAATACAAGTGCAGTCTTGTGTGAAATTTGAGGGAAAACTCACCGGTAACTCATGTAACCTACAATTGTTCTGTAAATATCACGCTGAAGCCCAGGTAAATGGGGTGTTTTATTTTCAGGCAAGCAAGTGTAAAATGGCCACAGCGAGACATTTCAGAGAGGGAGGGACAAATCCCTTACTCTGGAATTTGATTGGTTGCTGGAAAGCGAATGCATTAACGTCGACGCTGATTGGACGAGACGAACGGGTCAGTCCTAAACTTGCAGCCCATGATTGATTTAAATGGGGGTAAAAATGCACTGCGTTGTTACAAATGTATTTATATATATTAGAGTTGATATGAACAAAAAACAAACAAACAAAACAATCAGATATATAGACATGTTATGTGCAATTTTATTTTAGGAAAAAAAAAAACAGGAAAGTAATTTAAAAAGACAGGGAAATGGTAAATATTAATAAATGAATAAATCAAAGAACACATAAATACCTTAAAACAGATAACCCTAATACCAGCTTTATGAAAACAAAAATCCAGAAATACCCATACATATCACAGTAAAGAAAAAAACGAAAAAAAACAACAACAACAAACAAAAAACCCTCTAGCAACCCACCCTCAAAATACTCTGGCCCAGCCCCTTGACCTTGACTTTCTATTAATTAAATGAGACAGCGGTTACAATTCATCATTTAACTGACATAAGCTGACCATAACAACAGGATCGAGTAAAATGATTAAAATATATGAAGTAAATTAGGCATCAACAATAAAAAGTTATATAGTACAATAATGACAATATCAGTAAAGAGGGGAATGGGGAGAATGGAGTAAAAGGCAAACTCGAAGTACACAACATTACCATGTCCTTACAAGGCCTTGTAAGACATACAGTACATAACAGATAATATAGTGATAAGATAAGCCTACCATCTATCTGAAAGAATATTAAACTTATCAGCTACACCACTTATGATTTGACCCACTGATTAACACAATCAAAAAAGGTCCTAAAAACTCATGTGTTTAACCTGATTGTGCCTCTGGCTATATAGTATGATGTCTTCCAGTAAAGTGAAGGTTTCTATGTCACTCTGAGTAGCTGTTAATTTCATTACCCACCTGAGCCATGAAATGTGGCCATTGGGGGGGAGGGTAACTTTGGCATGGAAAACAGGGGTTAAGGTCAGTGACACAGACGGCCTTTCCATGCATACAGTACGTAGACACATGTTAATACACAACCACACAAATATACACACATTCACTGCATGCAGAGCTGCACTGGAGAAAAACAAACTACCATACAAATGCATACACACACTCTAAAGTACAGGTAAGTAATTCTGTATGGGAAAATATCTCATACAATCTAACTTTAGGCATACCCCTGCATATCGCCTGAGTCAGAAAATGGGCCTGAAGTACCCAAGCCAGTGACAGGGAGAAAGCCTTCAAATGTGAGGTGTGGACTCTTACAAATGACAAATAATACCCTAAGTTATGAATCCCCACCCCTCAACAACCATCACTCTCAAGGCACTACATGTAGGCGATACTGTGTAAAATTTACTTAGAGATGGCCTAAATTCAAACCTAATCATGTCCTTTTCTGACTTCTCTTGTGTTCTCAGTGTCTTTGGCCTTCTATCGACCTTTTCTCTCCTAATTTCCATCATGGCACATTTGCTCCCCTGTTTTGAACTAGTCAACTTCAAATTATACCCATAACCTGCCCTGCAAACTTCTAGATTAGATTTCTTTTCTTTTGTACTTAAATTGATGCAAGAAAAGTGGCACACAACTTAAGAGTCCAAAAACCATGGTGTGTGTGGTCTTTTGAATCATTTCAGATCTGCTCCACTTTGCTAGGGGTAACCGGGTGATCGGAAATTGAGCATCTGCATAACTTTTCTTTCCCATTCCCCCACCCCCAAATATCCCCCCCTGTCAAATTTCAGTGGAGCCTGTCCTCTCTATCTGTGCTTAAGGACAGCCCCCTCTGCTCCCAGTGCCTATAACAGTAGGCAGGTGGACTTCCTGTTACGCTTCTTGGCCTGCAGCGCAGCTCTAGTTGCCATCTCAAAGACTTCCCTCACACCATCTTTGGTTTTGGCAGAACACTCTTGGTAGCCGTAGGCACTGATGCGGTTTGCCATCTCTTTGCCATCTTCATATTTGACTGGTTCCTGGGGACACATGTCACAAAGAAAGTTTACATTTGAATATTATTTTATTGATTTAACTTGTTTGTTTAGCTGAATTTTCTGAAGCCACCACATTTACCTGTTTCATTTTGGCTAGCTCTCGTCTGGTGTGGTCATCATTGCGCAGATCTTTTTTATTTCCTACCAGGATGATGGGAACATTTGGACAAAAGTGCTTCACCTCAGGAGTCCACTTTTCTGGAATATTCTCTACAGTGAGGAGAATGAAAAAGCAATTAATTACATACATCAAGGGGTTCAATACTTACTAGTATGGATGGTGCTCAGATGGTACCTAAACTGTCAGGACTGTCCACAGAGAAGCACATGAGGATAACATCTGTGTCTGGGTAGGACAGGGGCCTCAGCCTGTCATAATCTTCCTGACCCGCTGTGTCCCAAAGTGCTAGCTCTACCTGAAAAGACAGAGAGTAACAGAGTTAAATGACTGGATAAATCTACGGAAGAAGAAAAGCAAAGGCAGAAATGACAATAATATAATTAGATTAGTTAGACAGACTAGATATGGTATAGCAGCAGCTAGTCTGATGACCACAACATGATGTGTTGAAGCATCCTGAGACAAGATATTGAAGAATGAGTTGCCCCCGATGCACCCATTGAAGTGTGATAACGAATGTTAGATAAATATGTATGATTGAGTAAATGTCACTAGACTGGCAGAAATCACTTCAAATGCTCAAATTGAGTAGAAAGGTGCCAAGTACCGGTCCATTAGCAACTAATTAAAGAGGGCAATTGCTTTTATTTAAATGCCATACAAGCACCCACAGCATTACAATCAAAATTATTTGCAAACCATCATTCCCTCTCACCTGTTTCGCGTCCACTTCAATGTCTGCCACATAGTTTTCAAACACAGTGGGTACGTAGACCTCTGGGAACTGGTCCTTACTGAACACGATGAGGAGACAGGTTTTCCCACACGCACCATCACCGACGATCACCAACTTCTTTCTGATAGCAGCCATCTATGGAAGAGTTGAAAACATTGTTGCGCATCCTAAGACAATACTCGCCAGTTAAAAACAAACACAACTTTGAGGTGCATTAATAAATAAGCAGTCTAAATAGGACTAAAATTTTCCGATGCTTCGCTTACAGTTTCCCTTTGCTGACATCTAGCACAAAAATACATCAGAAATCGCTGGTAACGCGCAGAGGTCTCGTTAACCGTACAGTTTGGCAAATAGTTCCTAGCTTACATTACTATGTACATTTAAAGCCGGAACCGATGGCAAACAGGCGGAGGTGCCACTGAGGTGTAGAAACAATTACTCAAACGTTTCCGTGCTACATTCCTATTCCTACTAAAAGCCCGACTACTCCAGTCTGGGGCCTGTCAAACCAGCCTTTGCTAGCAGGAAAGCTAGCGGTGCTTCCTATGAGTTTTATTATTGTCATTCAAAATCCTCTCTCTTAAATTATAACTACAGTATTCATCCCATCACAGCCATATTTATGCGCCTGAAACAAGAATCGGCTTAAAGTTTATACGTTATATAGAGAATTTGATTACCTTGGTGTTTCTCTGTACGCCTTTCTCCTCTTCCTGACCGACTGGAAAACTCCGCCCACCGCTAGTACACATGCGCACTATTACGTCATTCGCAAGTAAAAACCGGTGTGACGGGGAATAATACATAGGTGGCCGTTTGTTTATCTGTTTGTTAGCGAGATAACGCAAAAACAACCCAGCTGAATTTTATGAAAGTTGACGGGGAGGTGGCGCATGAGCAAAAGAAGGATCTGTTGAAATCTGGGGCAAATCCATATTACTTTCAGCAAAATTGGGTATTTTGTTTGAAGGACATTGCTCTCTCCGAACTGTGCGAATTCATTAATTAAGTTAAGGTACTGGACTACTAATTTGTATAGGAATGTCAACCTATGGTGACCATAATCACCATAGGTGAACAGTATGTTTATAGTTTGAATACACACAAAATGGGTGTGTATATATGAATGCATTTGTACATATGCACCATTCCAGTCTGGTTAGTCTCCCCAGCTGACTAACCATGCTCATCCTATTTGAACTTGGGTTTTAAATCCTATTTCTCCAGCAGCACTCAGTTTATTAATAAAAAAATGTATAAATCCCATTTACTACTGGTGTCCCCCAAGAATCTGTCCTGGGACCCCTTCATAAATTGAATATCAGCTTCCATTGTTTTGCTGATTGTATGCAACTCTACCTGTCTAACAAACCTACCATTACTCTCCTACCCACAGCCTTCTGCATTTGACTCAAATCAAATGCAGCTTTTTTCAAACTGAACATTAATAAAACTGAGGTTCTCCTCATTGGCAACAAATCCATCATGTATAAATGTAATTTTTTACCCTCCCTATTGACAACTCCTCAGTTTCTCCCTCCCTCTTGACTCAGGCATCCTCATACTTTCATCTTTGTAACATCAGTCACCTTGGTCCATTCCTCACACCTAATAACACTGCGGTACTTGTTCACACCATGGTTACGTCCCACATTAACTGCTGTAACGATTTTCTTTTTGTTTTCCCTTGCAAGTCTAGAACTCTGCTGCTCACACCATCACCAGAACTCCTTCCATTAATCACATCACACCTGCTCTTCAGCAGCTCCACTTAAAAATCGTACTGATTTCTAGATTCTTTACTTCTCTGAACTTTTGCACATCAGCAAAACAATTCACACTCTTCTTCTTCCCTCCTTCTTACTGTCCATTCCCCGCCATTTGACTACCATGGGGTCTAGAGGCCTCAGTACTCTGCTCACCACCTTTGGAATTCCATCCCACCAGACACGCTTCTTTAAAAGTGGCATATTCACTCTGATGGTCTTCTAATATGAATCCTCTGATCTCAACAATTTTGCATATTGTAGATTTTGTTTATTAGCTTGATGGGTATTTGTCAGTTTATTACTATAGTTTTAACTCTTCTGTGTGAGATGACCTCGAGTGTTTTGACAGGCACCTGAAATAAAATGCGTAATTATTCACTGAACATTTTCATGACCGCTGCATAACTTTTTACATTTAACAAAAAGTAGATTGACATTTGAAAAAGGTTCATTTTATTTAGAGATTTCTGCAGGGCTTTTATTTATGTATTTTCACTTACAAAAATCCACAAACTGTAATTTCACCCAAGGGAACAAGTCTTTTGCATATATTTGTATGTCCCAACTCAAAAATTTTTTTGCACAATATCATAACAAGCATGAGTCGTGACTGTATTACATTAAGAGCTCTGCATCATTCTAAGCACGTCACTCGCTCATGCCTGAGAACTAGGGCACAGAGACTCTTAAGGCTATGGTCTGTCTGAGCTGTCTTAGTGAGACACTTGAAAAGCATCTCTACGGTTTTTAGGGGGAGGACCATGTCTTCAAGCCCTGTTAGACTGAGCATGGCCGCTCTCCTCCTCCTCCTCAGTTCATTTGAGGGTAAGCTCATCGAGTATGAGAAGTTTGCCGATGTCAGAGCACAATACTGCTGTCTATTTGTTTCTATGGACACTGGAGGTAAAGTTGCTCTGATTGGCTGCTTGGCAGCCAGTCTATTTCCTGACGGTGGCGGTGCTGTTGCTGCGCTGGTAGAACAGCACATAGGCTTGATTGGTCTGAAGCTGGTTCTCTGTGAGTGGAGTCACACTGTCAATGGGCAGAGGAAGGGAAAGTTTCAGGTTTATGCAAACATATCTTAATACAGAATAAACAGGGTTTCTCAAACATATAGACCACCTTTGATGTACAGTTGTCAAAATATGTATATATTGTGTGTAAAACGAAATGATATCTCACCTGGAATCATTGTAGAAGCACCAGCCATTTTCATCTAAGCAGCAGGCTGTGTAATGTCCCATGTTTACTGTCCCAGCATGGTTACATATTGCATATAAATCATACAGAACTGAGCCTGTGGGGACAAACATAGATCCAGAATTATATAGTAACATAAATACAATGAGTTACTTAATCCAGGGTTCAGAACTGTATTGTGTCAGAATTCCAGATGTGCAGTTTATGGAATAATCTCTGTTGCAAGCGATTAAATTAGGATATGATTGCGTATATCCCAATATTCCTTTATTTTCTATTACAATGCATGGTTTGAGTCAGTGAATCATCATGTTAACCTCCCTATGCTTAAAACAACAGATTCATAGTTCACAGCTAAAAACCTTTTTTGCAGCTGATTTATGCCTTTTCTTCTAACTCTCTTTTTCCTCTCTCTCACCAGCCATTTGTCAAAATAAAATCATGTAAAGCAAGCTCTTAAAACGGTTTTGTAGTGCGCTCTACCTACTTGTGTCAAAAAGTTAAAAGCCCAGGTTTTCTTCCACATTTTATTGCTTCAACCTTTAGCTGCACTCCTTTTGTTGAAAATACAGCATGAATGGATCACACAGGCTCGGTTCTCTTACCACAGTCGACAGGTCCGTATGGTCCAAGGTCCAGGTTGGTGAGTGGGAAGGACACATATATAGTGCTTTTACTGATGGACCACCTTGACGTCGTGAAACGGTTCAGATCTTATCGAGACTGTTAAGTATTCTTAGCGTCACACATCTGTGCAGATAAAAATCACACGCCTAAAAGCATCACAAGTGGAAGAGTTGTTGCCAAGGATACGGATCACTATAACCTGGGGAAACCTCTGGATAGACAGCCGCTTGGTGCACTCTGTACGCCTGTTACACCTCTCGCACATCTGAAGAATGTATAAACACACATATACACACCTCAACACAACATACCTTACACATGCACACAGGGTCCGGCGTATATATCAAGTACAAATGAGCAATGTTGTTTAGTGAGCCACTAATAACTAAGATGCACTTAAGTTGGACGTTCTTATGACAGAAAGAAATTCAAGAATTCTCATCATCTGCCTCACTGTTTATGAAATTAAATGGTTTTTTGTGCCAGATGATTGCATTTCTTTGAAATGTTTTCATATTGATGAGATCACTGTATTAGTCGTTCGGAGTCTAGCAGTTTACCCAACTCCCCGGTTTGATCCCGGGAGGGGACACAAATCCCTTTGGGCTTGTGACAGGAAGTGTAAAAACATCTGCCACATCTGGAGCTACCTGCTGTTATTACCCCCCATGTAAATAAGAGAGCAGCTGAAAGTAGCTTTACTGTTCAAGCCATTTGACTTCTTTCACACATCTATATGTTATGATCTTTATATGGACTAAAGACAAAAACGTAATGATATGTGTAGGTCATAAATGGATCAAAACTGTTAAATCATCTCCTTGCTTACAGTGTCTGTGTCGATATGTTTTAATCACACTATTGCTGATCCAGACAGTTGCTGAGATTCGACAATCATCGCTTTAACTTACTGGCGAATTCTCCTTGTCCAGCTTCTCCTCCTGAGAGAAGAGGTCCAGACACTCCCTGAGCGTGACCTCCCCAGTAGAACTCCTCTTGGGGATGGGCAGTGACAAATCGCAGAACACATCAAACGTGTTGGAGTAGTGAGAGCAGACTGAGCAATGCAGTGAGCTCCGCAGCTGGCCTGAGAACAGATCTGCAGGGACCAGAATGATCAGCGGTCTGCTTTAACGGGGATAAAAATAATGGATGAATTTGACTGGAGTGGCTCTCCTCACCAACAATTATGCTGTCATCTCTCTCCAAGTGCTTCTTCCACATGACAGCCGCCTCCTCAGATATTCTAAGGGAGGATAAGAAAAATGATCAGAACGTGCTCACATGCAGGTAATCACTGTTTTAAGGACAGATTTATTCATTTTAGCATACACACCGAAACCTAGCAAATTTTTGTTCGGGCTCCTTCCCGGCTCGTCTAACGTATGGTCTGCGATTTATTTCGGTATGCAGCTTGTCGAGTAGGAACCTGAGGAACTCCTGAGCATCCTGTTGACTGTGGTGAACGCAGAAAAATTAGCAACTAGTTCTTCACAAGAATCAAAAGTCTGTACAAGTGGAACAAGAGAAGGAGTTTAACAGTTTACACATAAGTGGTAAAAAAGTTGTTAACCTCGAGGAAAGGCGAAACAGAACCCCCCCACAAAACACATCCATATCCTCACCTGTAACCATTGAAGTAAGGCACTGCTTCTGTGAATACATTGTAAAACTGTCTAGGATTTACAACTTTGTCTCCTTCATTTACATCCCAAAGGCCCGACAGCACCTTAGAGAAAGCTGGCATGGCAAGAAAAACAGAAACAAGAAGAAAACATGAAACTCTGACGCAGGAGAGACAGTCAAGACAGAACAGGAAGGAGAGGAAATGCACCTTCCATCAGTTTAGCTTCCTCTTTGGAGAACTTCTCGTGCTTGTAAGATCTGAGCAGGCAGTAGCCCCGCAGGCCACATGTGTGAGACAAACACTGGACAACTGCATTTAGAAAACACTGGGTCCAAAACAAAAGAAAAAAGGGAGAGTGATGTCAAATAATGTTCATTTCAGAGGCCCTTTAAGAGTTTCATCTGTCATCTTTACTTACGGTGTTTCCTACGTTTCTAAGGCCAGCCCTGCCTCTTCCTAAGGTGAGCTGCTCCTTCTGAAATGTAAAAAACAAAAGGAAGTCGATGACCACAGATCTGTCGGATCTGCGAGTACCATACAGAGCACT